TAGAACAAATATTCACACAGTATAAATATTTTCTAGACATATATCTAATCCAACTAAAAGTTAAAAGAAACTACAAAAGAGAGTGAGTACAAGTCTTTAGGTTAAATTCTCTAGTGTTGAAAAAAAAAAATCTATAAATGTCAATTTATATACATGTAAATAATCAAATGAAATTAGATAATGTACTTTCAATACACATGTAATAGTACCTTGAATGTCTGATTAAGCTAAAAGTCATTATCCCCCAGAAGATAATGTATAGTTTTATAGTTCTTCATAGTTTTTATAGCCAGCAAGTTCTATAATATATGCCTTACATATTTTCACATGTTTTCATACTATATATATTTATTAGTGTCCTGGATTTTTTTCTATAGAAAAAGAGTTGGATTAATTTAGTTTTTGATATATGTTTAAGTCATTACTTATATATACTGTGATGATTATTGTATTTATTTATTTATTTTACCTGCATTGTGATCATGCATCGTCTGCCAAACCAGCTTTGGGTCTAAATCGTCAGTCAAATCAGCTTTGTGTTCAATCGTCAGTCTAATCAGCTTTGGTTCTTTGAACAAAAAAAAATACAAAATAGCACTGTGACACTGAACTCCAGTTCCTAAATACATTATTTAAAACACGTTTCTCATTAATTTGATGAAAGAACCGAATAAATAACGATCTCAACAAACATTTTACGTTAACTGCTTTACAAGGTTTCTACTTTCACTTTCATATCGAATATAAACTGATAAATATTCAAGCGTAGCTATTAACAAAAGGGAAACAAATCTGAAAAATAAGTGATGCTAAATGGCCTAAACATTCATCGTTAACAAACAAAATTACTTATTGATACCTAGGTTTATCGGCTTTTTACGAACTGCATTAATCTTAATAACAATTATATACAAGTGATGAGAATACTAGAAAGTTTATACTCATCTGTAACCGTAATGAAATGATCTAAACACAATGAACTAGCCTTTAAAAAGTCTTTCAAAACGTATCCGAGATCACTTACTTTTTCCAACACCCAACTCTTCGGAACACTTCTAGTATACCGGTCCCTATAAATATGGCGCTAAAATAGGTGCCGCCGAAGGCGGTGTACAATATAATACGATCGCGTGAGCGATCGACAAAATCGATAAAAAAGGCCACAAATCGCAAAATTGAGCCAAAAATCGTGTTCCTTGTGAAAAATTGGGTTTAAAAAACTGGTTTTTAAACACAGTTTTTTAAATGAGAATTAAAAGGTTTCGTAAAATAACGTACTTGTTTAGTAGATAAAACTCCATTTTGCGTTGTTTAGGAATGTGGTCACATGATCAGTTTTTGACGTAATCTCATAAATATTCATGACGTGCGTCACTTGTGTTTTGACGTAATGAAGACTGATGAAGAAGTAGCTGATAGGACTCAAAGTGAAATGCTACTAAAATTGCGAGATTTTTGTGAGAAATGCAGGGATTTAACAAGTGATAACTAATTACTAGTAATTGGTTGATTGAATTGTACATCACCATTGATTTGAAAGAAAAAAATATTCTGAATATGGACATTAGGAGGTTAGGATATCGAGCTTAAGTAAACGGTAAGTCGCTTTTACCAATTACTTGCCAAAACTTAGCGCACAATATCGGGCATGTTTCAACATTAGACCAAGGCTAATTCATCCAAGTTTCGCAAAACTTTCCTGTTCTTTGTAAGCAAAAATTGCATGAATAAGCCCAAAGTGGTATAGATGCAAGCATGGGTGAATATAAAACAGTTACAATATCCGAGCTATATATACACTAACCCTAATTCGTAGATCGCATACAATGCCATATTTAATTAACGGTCTGTTTAAGTTTTGCATGTTTCATTCTTTACTCCTATAAGATGGTATATCGACACTGTTCAACATTAGGCTGATTCATGCAAGTTTTTGGTCACAAAAGGCACTTGGCAGTGCCTTTTGTAAACAAAAATTACATGAATTTGCCCAAAGTCAGGAAGATTTAAGAGTGGATTTATAAAACAGTTCCAATCTTAAAACAATATACCCTAACCCTAATCACTCGATCGAATGCGTTTTGTTGAAGCGAGGGGAAAATGGCGGTTTGTTTACATTCTGCATAGCAACGGCAAGGGAAATAACTGCTCATGCGCAATCGCGTGATTCTGGGGACCGGCATACTAGAAACTTCCCAACTCTTCTGCTGCAGAAGTGACGTCAAACATGACGTACACTTTCATCTGATAAAAACCGAAACCGGTCCGTAAATAAAATGTGGAATGATTTTAATTTTACTCATAAAATAAAACCAACCATGACAGTTTTTGGATAAAATACAAATCAATTTATTCTTCATGAATTTTGTTTTTCAAGAAAACAAATTTTGAATATTTTATGAAAGGGGTTTTTTTTGGGGAGGGGGGGAGGGGGGGAGGGAGTAATAGATTACTTATTCCCTTTTTATCCAAGCTTCTTAAGGAATTTACACACCTTGATATATGTTATTGAAATTATTTTTTAATCATGCAGTCTACTTGTTAAAATACATGTATAACACCAACTTTTTCACATTAAGCTTAATATGAAATTACTCAAGTGTTAACTGATTAACATTGAATAAACGTATTTTTTTTATCTCATTGAATTAAAATAAAAATGAATTTTACCTGTTTATAACAAGGACAAATATATAAACACTCACAGATCTGTTTCATATGATTCTCATATGATAATTCTCAAAGTATACATAGGATTCTCATATGCAATATCTTTCATATGTGTATCATATGTATATTGCTTCATATGATTTACATATGTGTTTTCATATGATCCACATATGATTTGCCACATATGATACTCATATGATTGAATATACATATGATTCTCATATGATCCTTATATGATCCTCATATGAAGGGCAATGCATATGTGGATCATATGTGGCAAAATTGCCTATGTAGTACCTGAAGAATAAAGGTGTTGATTACAGGTTATTCATAATATCAATTAATTTGTGCCCCCCCCCCCCCTTAAGACTGAACTCCTGACATACGGAAGAGCTTTGATCTATTATATATTTAAATTTACTAACTACTAAAAATATCTTGTGACTTTTTAAGTAACTTTTGAACAATCTGATTGCAATTGAAAATTAAATGTAAAGGATATCCCACTCGTTTATAATTATCACATATAACTTAAGAACCATAAGTAAGAAAGAAATGGAAAAAAAAGCATTAGACTATAAGAATTGAATAAATACATGTCATAGTCTGCAGTAAATAGAAAATAGTTAAATCATTTTTTATGTTGAAAAAACGTTTAGAATATTTGTTGAATTTTGATAATATTAAATTACATTAATTTTTGTGGATTTTGACAGAAAACACAGAGTCTCTTATAATGTGCAGATCCAGTATCCCTAGTTTACCATATTCTAAGGAAGAAAGGACATATAGGGTTGTTGTTAGTTCAAGTAAGTACATTGTGTACCTTTGGATTTGCATTGAACTATTTTTTTTTTCAGTTTGCACTGGTGAAGCCACGAGTCTACAGGTCAACAAAGGCAACATAGATCTGTTTACATCTTTACTTAAAACTTTTGCCTTTTCTGTTATGAAATTTCGCTTGCTAAACTCTACAGAGTCAAATACTCTCCAAACGTCAAAGTTATGTTTTCGTTAACATGCATTGTTTGTCCGTAATCGAAAATTCGGGCACATATTTTGTAGTCTCTCCTTCTCTCTGTTTGTTGTTTCTTTGTTAATTTGTTTGTCTGTTTTTATGCAAAATATTTTCATCTTGGCCTCAACTAAATGGTTGGTGCTAGGGCTTTCATATTTCACATGTGTATTGCATGTGAAAAGCCCTGTCTTCGGGTATTTTATTATATTATATTTGACCTTTTGACCTTGGAGTTTGACCTACCTTTGCAAAATTTTACCAAACTTTAACCTTTGTCATACCTTTGCATAACACGGTGCAAGAGCTTTTATATTTCACATATGTATTTCATGTAACAAGATCTTTCTTTAGGTGCCAATTTTTTGACATTTTGACTTGGACCTTTTACTTTGACCTTCTTAAATCTTTAACCTTGGCCAGTAAGTGCTAAGTGCTAGTGCTTTCAAATATAACATCTGAATTTTTTGTGAAAAAAAACACTTAAAAAATCTTAGGGTACCAACATTTTTGACCTCCTGGTCTTGACCTTTGGGTTTAACCTACATTTGTAAAAACTCTATCCTTGCATATAACTTTTGAACGGTTGGTGCTAGGGCTTTTATATTCCACTTTTATCCCATGTTTACCCCTTTATCCCGTGGATATGACTCATTGGATATTTTTTTCATATTCAACAGTTAAGTGCAGTTGTGACGTCACAATGGTTTTTGCGTTAGAGTGATGAAGTAAAATGAAGTGGAGTCCTGTATAAAACAGTGTAAAACATTCGTTGTGAAGTATTAAACATGGGATAAAGAGAATCTCCCATGATTTGTAGTTGGATATGACTTTTATCCAACTCATTGTGTGTTTTTATCCCTTCGCCAAGGCTCGGGGATAAAAAAAAACACAACTCGTTGGATAAAAATCATATCCAACTACAAATTATGGGAGATCCTCTATATACAATACTTGTGACAAGACCTTTCCTTTGATACCAATATTTTTGACTTCATGACATTCACCTTGGGGTATGGGCAACTTTAAAAAAAAAAACTTTAACGTTAGCAATAGTTTCTGAATGGGTGTTGTCAGAGCTTTCCTACTTCACATTTGTATTCCTTGCGACAAGACCTTTCTGGAGGTACCAACATTTCTGAACACTTGACATTGGAGTTTAATTTACATGAGAAAAACTTTACACTTGGACTTGGGCTGCCATACTGGGGCATCAGTGTTTCACAAAAATATATTGTTTGCTTATGATTCTATATATGATTATATTTTACGTCAATTTTAAGCAGAAAGTGTTGGATCAATGCAGGGAAATCGAATGGCCATGCGCGGATCTTGGGAAAGATCACTTACATTTATTGATGAAGATCTTGAAGGTAAAGAGCTACTCTTTATACCTTAGCTGTGTAATACAATGCAACTTTTATTTTTGAAAAATTCACATTTACTACATATAGGTCAATTTGTTAAAATAATAAAAATTTCCTAGCAGTCTTATTTGCTTTGACCCATCTCATTATGCAACCTCTTTGAAAAAAAAATCATAATCGAGGAATAAGATGGTTACTATCAAAAATAATGATTGTCACTATCTGTTTACATAAAAATTCAGATTTTTCTTACAATCTTTGAATAAGGACTCATTTAAGTATTTTCGGAATAATCGAAGGAAGAAAATGTAATTAAATGTTTAGGCATTTACGATACGAAAATGTTTATTCGTTTAAGTAAACATATTTATTATTTGCATGTTAATCTGCCAAACAATGTGCTTCTATAGACATTTTACAGTATTTTTTAAAAATAAAATTTATTATTTTACACTTTCTGTAAGGCGAAAGCGGAAGTGGTAGCGGAAGTGGAAGTGGGAGTGGAGATGGAAAAACTTACTATGAGGACTTCCCCGATCCGATTTTTACACCTAAATTCAAACCAATTGAGCCTTCTTTTGACAAGATCGAAGGTGTAAATTATTTTTAAATTAGATTATTCTGAAGACAATGTATCAGGGACAAAAACGTTATTTCATTAAAATGTAACAATTCGAATTTATGCATTTTTCTATATTTGTGCAATGTGTTTCATTGGTCTTACATTAACATTATGACTTTTCTTTTCCTCTAACTTTTAACAGAAAACCTCCAAATCATTTGTCAACCCACCTTTGTCCTTGGACAACAGTTTCTCTTTTTGATCATGCTTTCGTAAAAAAACTTATTTAATTGTACATTGTAATTGACAACCAATCAAGTGCATTTCATAACTGTTTTAAAGCTGAGAAAGGTTAAAAGAAAACGTAATTTTAATCTTTCCTGTACGAAAGTTTCCATTACAATGATTCAGAATAGTTGAAAAAGGAAACAAGAACAGAACTTTGCAAAATTTTCACTTTTTCTAAATTTCTCGTTCCTTCAGAAAATTGAAAAAGCTACACTCATCAAGCTTTGTTTTTCTCAACAACTAAAATTTATCCAAGGACATGAAGTTGGCTATAAACCTAAATTAATTCAAAAGGGTTGTTAAACCTATATAGCGCCACCCTACCTTTGTATCATCGGTAAAATGTAAAATAGTGCACCAAAGAGAATTGCTTTTCCATTTTTTTTTTAAAATTTCATTGAATAGTATCTGTTTTGCTTCTTTTCATTGATGTTACTCATCTCAAAATATAAAGAAGCCTTATTACGTTTTTTGCTGACTGAATTAACCTTTATTATTATAATGAATACTTAATTCTATATCTTAATTGTAATTTCTTGTCACTTAAAATTCATGTAATTTGATTTCTGTCAGACGTGCCATACCCTTTTATCCCAATCCAATCCGTGATACCAAAGAAAACCACAAAAATCTTCACAACGTCCAAATTACCCGACAACGATCGATCTTCAAACAGTGAGAAAATCTCAACTTCAGAGGAAGACAGTGAAGTTATCACAGTATCAAATCCAAGGAAGCCATTTCCAAAGAAGAAGAATATTAACACAGAGAGTTCTTTGGGAACACCCTCAAAAGCAGAAGATGGTTTGAGTGAGCAAGATATTTATGTCATCGTGAGTTCGGTGGCAGGCGGTACTGTCCTTGTCTTGTTGATTGTTATTGCAGTTGTTTGTTTCAGTGGTAAAAAGAAGCAAAATGCGTACAGCTACAACGTTATGTAGAAAGACATTTCTTTTTGCTACAATCCGAAATATATAGAGAGAAATGTGGTTCTAGCAAACAAAGAAAAAAAAAACTTTTGGTAATATTTTTAATGTGTTATTTTCTGAAAATGTGAAGTTATACATGTTATATCAGGATATACAAAATATTTTAAAGACATTTCTTAGAAGTTAGAATCTACCAGATTCTAATGGTATACATAGAATGATAATAATGTTTGCCAAATAATACTAATAACAAGCATTACAAGATAACGTAAAAAAGAGTATTAGTATATTAATCTTTGCATAAAGAGAAAGGTATATGAACCATCTATATATTTTTAGACATTAAGTTATATACATGTATGTACATGTCTTAAATTCAGATATTATTTCTCTTGGGTATATTTTCTTATTCTAATGTCACCTTATCCACTCAGGTGACCTATTACTATTTTCATCCGTCGTCGTGTGTCTTCAGGTGTCCGTTAAAATTTGAACATTCTCAGCTTTTTCTCGGGAACCACTCAACCAATTTCAACCAATTTTGGCATATAGCATCAATGAGTAAAGGGGAACTAAAATTGTGCGTTTCGTGGTCCCTGTCCCTTGGGGCCTGAGAGATGGGCCAAAACCATCAAAATAAACATGATTATTCTATTTTTGCTGTTTTTGAGCAACATATCTTCATCTATATTTTTTTTTTGTTTTAATCTACAGTATATAGTTGTTAAGAGCCATTCTCTGTAATGACTTGAACTTTTATATAGGAGCTGCGGCACGCATAGTCTCAGAATTTCTCCAAACTCTCTATGATAAAAGTCTTTGATACTGTAAACTCAAATCAGGCATAAATTAGTTGCTAAGTGTCATGGTTACCATAGCAACATGTCCTAAAGTTTGAAAAATGGCATTTTTCAACATGTTCAGATTTCCACAGTTAACGTTTGCAGCAAAGCAAACATGTGACAATGACTGTTTCTGAAAGTTGAAGGCCCGGTGTCTTAAATGCATGATAAACATGTTTGGTAAATTAACTATTACATACCTTACTATGGAAACAAAATATTCAAAAGTAATAATTTTGTTCATTTAATTTTATAAAGTCATACACTTAAGAATAAAAACAATTATAGGTTAAAATGCAAGCAAATAATAGACAAGAGATCCTTGTAACATATACCAAGGACGAAATATGATATTTCTGATAGGTTGGCAATGGTTGCCATGGTTTTAATACCACGAAGTGGTTTTAAATTCACTCTCTTAGAATTCTAATCTTATCATATATTTTTTAAAAAAACATATTTCTATATAACTGATGATTAATTTTTAAAGGCGTTGGTGCGACCCTTATTTTCACATTTCAAAAAATTCGATTTCAATTCTTTAAATAGTGCGTTGCTATGGAAATAAGGCGAAAAAAAAACATGCACAAAATCTGAAAAATACTTTGTTTCCTTGGATACGTACCCTTGTATGTAGATTCCCAAAACTTTAATGATTGATATATGTGAACAACTAACCTGACTTTCAATTTTGACCACCACCCAATCTCCAACTGGATACAAAAAGCTGGCACAAAGGGTCTAATATTGACATAAAATTAACAAAATCGAACATTTTCTCTTCTTGGTAACCATAGCAACAGTGTTGTATTTTTCAACAAACTATATCAATATATGATATTCAACTTTAAGTTCTACCAGATAAGTACTATTCAAGGTGAGTCAAATAAAAATGTTCTTGATTAAAAGGTTAGTAAATTCCTAAAGCAGTAAAAAAATTTCACTTTAAACAACTGTTTTGTTGTTTCCATGGTTACACTGCAAAGTAACAATTAATCTCAATTTTTCTTATGTTGTCGGTGTTGCAAGGTCCTAAGAATGTATATGTTCCAGGCATGAATTTCATTGTTTTTTCCTCAAGATAGTAGCATTAACCCAATCATAGCAACAAATTTTGCATGGTTACACTGTGCTACCATGGCAACCATGAAAGTTATTTTTAGAATAATATTGCCAATACCTCATAACATAAGGTCAAATATTTTTCATTGTTTTTCGTAAGTTGTTGATTGAGTTTGATCATGTAATATCTATCATTTGTAAATATTGATCGTTTTTTAGCATTTTTCAGCATCTAAAATGTTTTCCAAATGCATCCTTGGTTACCACTTACTTAGAGATAAATTCTAAATAGTTTCTTTATAGCATAAGTGGCAACAAGGTGTCATGTTTTTGGGAGAATGGTTTGTTTGTTTTCCTTAGTCTTTATTAAGGCTTAATAAAGATTTGAAGTAGCTGAAAATCTCAATTCTTTCAACTTTACTGGCTGTTACCATGGCAACCAAGACACATAGCAACGAAATTTTATTTGATATATGTTTCTGGTGTCAAGTTGTAATAAAGGGCAAAGTTTCATCAAAATCGGTGACCATGCGTGGCAAAGAAGTTTTAGTGGTTACAGAGAATCGCTGTTTAAAAATTGTAATTTCATTGATCCTTTAAAGGGTTGTAATTATGCTTAGGTGAACGTTAAGGCCCTTGGGCTTCTTGTTAAGAAAAGAATTTACATATTATTGAAATTTCAGGTAAAACTACAATTGAATAAAATACAAGAAACAGACACGATTTTTTTTTAGATCTAATGTCAAAGCTGACTATCGATCGGGTTGAATTCGTGGGTTATGAAGCACAGAAACAACTGCATTCTTGAAAATATATCCTAGTGCGGACAATGGATTTTTTCCCCTGCTCCTGACAGATTTTTGAACATTTTTTTTTAATTTATTGGTATCAATTTAGGTTTTGAAGATAAACTCCTTAAAATTTTATTTTCCTATTACCCAAGGTACATTCTGAATCTACGAGAATAGAAAAAGCAGAACTTTTTAACAACAGCAACAAACTCAAGGGGGGAGGGGGGGGGTTCCGTTTGATGAGATTTATCGATGTGTAAACTCTTTCTGTAAGGTTTGGTCTCTTAAATGCATGGTAAATACATGTATATTTGACAAATCAACTATTACATCCGTTACTATGAAAACAAAATATACAAAAGTAATAATTTAATCATTCATTTTTATTAAGACATACAATAAAAATAAAAGCGAATATAGGTTGAAAAAAATCATCACTTTAAACCAATTGTAAGTAGTTTTCATTGTTACACTTCAATGCAACAATAAAATCCAAATTTTCTTATGCCATTTGTGTTACAATTCCAGACTTGAATTTCCATGTTTTTCCTTCTTCTTAAGATAGCTGCATTAACAAAAACCTAGCAACAAAGGCAAGATGGCAACCATGAAAGTTATTTTAGAATATATTGCTTCAATACGTATTCATCCGCGGATCTAGAGGGGGGTCCGGAACCCCCCTTCCGGAATTTGCAGAGTTATTAAAAGTATATACTGAAGCAAATAAGATATGACTTTGGATCCCCCTAGAAAACTTGGACCCCACCATCACCACCACAAAATAGGGGTTTTTCACGTTTGGGAAATAGAATTAACGTTTTTATTTATTTATTTATTTTTTTTTAACAAATTTTCTTGGGAATGGAATTTAGGTGTTGTTGGTTTTTTTTTTTTTTTTTGCTTGTCAAGAAATTTTTCGGTTGAAATTCTTTTTTGGACTAGGGTGAACCCCCCCCCCCCCGGGAAAAAAATTCCTGGATCCGCGCCTGCATAATACTTAAGGCCAGCTATTTTTATTGTTTTGCGTGTATTGTTGATTGAATTTCATTATGTAAGACCCCTTAATAGTGAATATTGTGCATTTTTTTAGCATTTAAAATGTATTCGAAATGCACCCATGGTTAACACTTACTTAGATATATTCTGAATAGATTCATTATTAAAAGCGTAAGTGTCACCAAGGTGTAATATTTTTGTCGGTCGAGAGTGGTCTGTTTGCTTTTATTACTTATTAGTATTTATTAATACAGTGTATATTAAATTGAAAAATATATGAATTCTGTCAATACATTCTGTTACAATATCACAAAGTTACAAAAAGTCATGACCTCTGTGCAATAGAATAATGAAATGATTTCTGTACAACATATCAATAGCAATCCCTTTATCGCTGTGACTTCAGACTTGTTGATGCAGATGTTCCAAGGTGTGTCATAGCCTCGGCCGAGGCTTGATATGAATCATTTAAACAATACAAATTTTGGAGCAGAGCAAGCACGGACTTCAAAAAAACATCAGAGGCGGGATCGGGGGCCATGGAGGAGTAAGCAACCCCTGTCGACGCTCACACCCGCTGTGTGCTCCTTATCATGATCGGGTAAATGGAAAATCCGTTGAAATCTCAGTGTGTAAATAATGGTCTAACAATTAGTATGAAAACGTCAGTCAGCATTTAACATAAATCTTGTTAAGTCAATTAAAAAAAAAAAACAGTCGATAAAAATAATTTCAACCCTCATTTGTTCATAACTACTACATTAAATATGCGATATATTGAGTCAAGAACATCTCTTCAAGAACATACATGTTTAGTAATAGATGGGGCATACTAGTAGTTAAGAAAGGGGGAGACCAAAAAACTACAAGGAATTGTTTTGCATCAGGTCTGAATTTCAAAATAAACCAGGCATTTGGGATAAATATTACTGCCAAAAATTTGTCCCAACGTGCTCGAATTTAAATGATCATCTTGGCTTCATCAATTATGCCGACTCTAGAAACCTTACTTTGAACTATATTTGAATCTACTGAAATGGGAATGTTTCTGTCAACTTGACGACTTTTGCTCTGTGAGTAGGAATTTTTGCTATCTCTTGAAAAATTTGGTTCATGCTGTTCCTTATAATAGCATTATTAATTTTTTTCCTTATATTTTTTCAAGCTGAAGTTTTAATATTTGTTATGGCCCCACTTCAACATCATGAAGAAATCGTCATTTGACTTAATTCAAAGTTGTGTTTCATTTGTGGGTGATACGGCTGTTTAAACTGCGAAAGCATCATACTAACGATGACTAAATCATAGAAGAATCATTCCTTTACTAAATTTTTGCGTCTTTGAGGCGAAATAAATCTACAAAATACAGGCGGATTCGTGATACGTGCTGGTGTCGTAGAATTTAATTTTCGGCTTTTCAATATGGTCTCTGCTCTGACTCTCCCTCACACAAATCAAAATATAAAAGCGGAATTAGAATCAGTGGAATATCGGATTACATTTGACTTAGCTACTTGGAAAAACTTGCTACGTATTACTTTAAATTATATCATTACACTTAGCTCTTTGGCAGCCCTAAACTGCTTAAGAAAAAAATTCGCACGACCATGACCGAAAGTCGAATCACATTAAATATAAAAGATCTTTAAAGATAATATCAAATAAAAATAAACAACATGAGAATTATTCATTTTATTCAACTAACGTCATACAAAGTGCTAAAAAAAATTGACACATTGGAAAACCAGATTATCTTGATAGATTTTTATTGATCAACTACATGTATTTTAGCTTATTTTATACTTGTATTTCGAGAATATCTCATAGAACTGGAGGATAATGGTTTAATTTTTTTTAAAGACGCTACAGATTTCAGTCGCATTTTTTTTAAAAAAAAAAAATGTTTTTGATTGTTGCAATTTTGTGTTTTAAACAAAATCAGCATAAAACGTTACAATACATCGATCCCTTCAAAAGAATCTTACTCGTGTAAAAATAGCAAAATTATACAGTAAATATAGAAAAGATAAAATTTGCAAATAATCATAAATTTAAAAAGAATCGAAAAGTTACTTTACTTACAATGTTTTTTTGTTATCCAGTTGTCGATTTTATTTTCTCATTCTTTTTTACGGGGGGGGGGGGGGGGGGGGGAATAGATTTACGATCGACTTTATCTAAATCAAAATCCTCTTGCTACATTATATCAATGGTATATTCTTTTAAGTAAAATATATCTTTTTGACGGAAAACATATGTTTGCACTGAATCTGGAACCGAAGTCGGTTAGGGAAAAATATACGAATTTACAACTGCATGACAAATATTACATTTAAAGTTTTTAAATCTTAATTTAATCTCATTTACAACTTAAAAAGTTCTAGATAAGTTTAAATTTATATCAAAACATTTAATGGAAAATCTATACTACCATTATGTAATACAGCACAATCTTTCATCTTTATTTACCGTATGTAATTAAAAAGTAAGATCTAAGTTCTTTTAAAGACCAAACTTATCCTTCGATAAGATATAGCTTTCAAAAAGTCCATAAGGCTCTCACTTCTTTTCTTTATCTATTTTTTAAAGAGTTTTTAAATTTATGCACAAGATAAAGATTTAAAATCCGAATGAAGATCAATCACTGTCCAAAAATTTTAATCTTAAAACAAACATAATAGAAACGCAAGACGAAGACGATTCGCGTAAAAGTACTGTGTAAATTTTGTTCTGAATGGGAATTAACAAACTTAATGGCAAACAAAGTCTGCATTTATGAGCAAACAGAGCTGATTTAACTTCCAACCAATAGAATACTAGAGAAACTAAGTAATTGTCAAGAAAAGATTTATAGGGCATTGTAAAATTTTACTATCACTTTTATTTTCATGCGCACGTACGTTATGTTCTGTTAACCGAAAATTCGAACGTTTTCCATACATGTACCCATGCAAATTAAATTTCAGCATAGAGTGAAAAAAAAAAATAGATGTGACTTATTTTTGGATGATTAGTACTGGACATGGATAATTATGGCGAGGCAGAAAAAGAGCTCGTTTTTCGAAATTTAAATATAACCTTGAAACAAAAACATGTACTCAAGAATATTAGTGGAGTGGCGAAGTCGAAAGAAATTTTAGGAATTTATGGACCAAAAGGTAAGATGAATAAACTATTGTCTTGAAAAGTGTGTACTTATTAGTCATTTGTAAGCTCGGAATTTGAAATTTTGGGGGAAAAAAATTGAAGACGGAGAATCAGTTCTTACTCTTTCCAAATAAATTAAAAAAATATCACGAGTCAAAATAGTATGGTATTGGTCTACAAAGTTATTATACACATAATCTTACAAAACAAACTAAAAAAAATACAAAATATAAGTGGATTTCAGAAGAATAGCTCTCTCCCCCCCCCCCTTTCCTCTCTTCTAAAATACATGAATTTTAAAGAAATCTTTAACTTTTCACTTTATATTTTTGCCGCTTTTGATCACCTAGCTCCTAACCATGATTTTTATAAAAAGGTTCCGGAAAAACAACACTAGTTGAGACTTTGGCGGGACAGTTGAAGCCGTATGTTGGAGATGTTTTATTGAGTGGAACACCAATTGAACACACACGGGCGGAAGTGGCGTTGGTGCAGTCATCAGATCTGCACTTGCCAACACTGACTGTATCAGAGACCCTCAAGGTACAGAGATATGCTATATACATATAAACTCTTACTATTTTTCAGGACAGGCATAAAAGTTTTGTATAATTTTATGGTGATTTGGATGGTTAAATGCTTTATTCCAGACTATATACGATTTTCAGTTTTAAGATTCAACGAAAAGGGTTAGTGGTCCTGTGAGGAATCTTTGTGGATTAGATAAAAATTACATTAATGTACTTTTTGAAATTTAATTAGAGTGAAGTGTTTTATTTAAATTCAAATAAGCAAAACTTGTTTTTTTTTTTACAGCTAGCTAATTGTGTAATGAGATTATATTTTGAATTATGAAAAAAAGTTGAATCGGAAGGGAAATTGCATTTTAGTAGAATTACTTGTTGAAGATTTTTATTCGATAATATTTACAATAAACAAACTCCAGATATTTCAAGCATTTGTAAGCAGATAATCTACTACACAAGGCGTCTGCTGGCAGGATTATTGGTCCTTGAAGACCTTTTCCCATATAAAGTATGCACTGTATCACGTCAACTGAACGCGACTAGAAGCTAGAACGTAACATACCTGTTCACTTTATCTCGCAACGGTGGGCCACTCGAGTCTGTCAGACCCTTTACAAATGGTACTTGGGTGCGAATGATTTACAAGGCGCGGTTCACTTCCATAAAAGTTAAAAGTCAACACCAACAGAGACATCTAAACTAAATATTAGTCCGACATTCACACCGTAAAGTCTGGACAATTACCATTAGAACTAGGTCGAAATGAGGTTACATGTTAAATTATACATTATACCACCAAACGTGTTATTTGTTTTTCATTTCCACATTTTATTGTCACATGTATGTACGAACTTTTCAATACCAATTCATGGAATTTTACACGTTAACAAATTTTGTTACCAGATTCCAAATTACATAGCCTGATGAAGAAGTTAAAACAAATTTCCAAAATATTCCTTTTTCAAACAGTGTAAAAATGTTCTTATTAAATTTTAACGCAATTAAAAGATAACAAGCTCAAGTTTTTAACAGGTGCTTAAAAGGCTGATCGAATCATCCCATCCTAAGATGGTAGACTAAAATATGGCTGCTAATTAGAAGCTCTTGTTTATATTATAATAGAAATGCCAAAATTAAAAAAAAAAGAAATATAGAAAGTTTTTTCAGACTCGGATCCAGGAATTTTTTTCCAGGGGGAGGGGTCCACATCAACTCTTACAGACGTCAGACTCGGAAATTTTTAATAAAGAAGAAAATACCCCCCCCCCCAGCATAAGAAAATTAATCCGGAGAGGGAGCTATTAGGTATTAGTTATGAGAAGACATTTTTGTAAGTCAATTTTCTTGATATACATGGGCAATATTAGTAGAGTTTGTACTTCCTAGGGAAAGATAATTTTTTCGTTACTTTTAGATGATAACTGAAAATCGGGGGGGGGGGGGGTTCCCTGTTTTTTTGCTTTTGCTTGCCTCTGCAGAATTTTTGTAATTCTCCAACAAAGTAACATTTTAAAATAATCAGCAATACTGTTTTGGTGATAAAATTTAAACTTATATAAATGGAATTTCTCTTTCCCAGGTTTTAGCTATACACGCGTTACGTATGCCTTCTTGGACTGGTTACCATTATTAGAAATTTCAGCACAGTAACGTAGAAGAATAAATCTACGGAAGCCCACTAGGACCTATCAAAAATATTTTTGAATTCGATATAACGAATTTAATTCGTTATAACAATTTCTTTAACTCATTTAAATGAATTTAATCTGTAAGTTATAGCAAATTTGTTGAATTCGTTATAACAAATTCAAAAATTCGATATAACGAATTTAATTCGTTGTGACATATTCTAAAACTTGTTATAACACATCTAAATTCGTTATAACAAATTCTAAAACTTTTTATAACGAATGAAATTCATTATAACGAATTCTTTAATTTGTTATAACGAATTCAATTCGTAAAACGAATTCAATAAATCCTTATACCGAAGTAATATATTATTTTCTGTAGGTCCTGATTGTTGAATTTGATTTAACGAGTTTAATTCGTTACTACAAACTCTAGAATCTGTTGGCTGGTTGAATTTGTTGACTTCCAGGATTGTATAATACGAAGGTTACATCTGTATGCACCACGTGTATGAAATATCACGTGCTTCCATGGGGTTCTTACATTCATGCACACCATAAAAATGTCCCCCCCCCCCTTAAATTTGTATCTCTTATTTTACAGTTACTTTGAATTTATCTCAATACCAACTTGATACATACTTTAATTTTATAGGTACCCATATATCTAAAATACATGTACAAGGATGAAACACTTTAACTCTGACTTGCTTTTATATTTCATCCTAATTGAAAACTATGCCCTCCTTTTTACGTAATGACAACCAGTAACAACACAAAGAAAGAGGTCAAAGGTTACACGAGAGGTGATGCGGGTGTGAAGGCTAACTGGCACATTAAGTAATGTAATACCATTGGTAATTATACTTACATGAATATAATTTTAGTATGCAGCAGTCCTTAGACTTCATAATCTGTCCACAAAAGATCTTGATCTCCGACTACGTCACGTGGTTGACCTGTGTCAACTTGACATGTTTAAGGACTTGAGTAAGTAAAAAAAAAATCATTTTCTTTTTCAAAAGAAATAAATTTATATAGATATTTAATTAATGTGGAACCTTAATGTCCTGTAACTAATGTAGCACTCACCAGATAAAGGGTATTCTTAACCTTTTGAAATGGGAACAAAGAAACTTTTTTTTTTAAATTTCAGACCGAATATTTTGGCCCAAGACAATAAACTGAAAACAGACTTATTCTTAATAAAGTCAAAATCTCATATCAATTCTACTTTTGAAGTAATTTGATAATGAATCAATTTTTTTTTTGGTATGTTCAAGTTCAATTTATTCACCCAAACCAAAATATTGGTACATGGGGTTCATGAATAACATATATACATTATATACAATCAGGTCAGAGGTACATATACAAAACAAAAAAACATGACAGATGATTGAAAAAGAAAATAAATAAATAAGAGAGGGGAAAATATATCAAGGAGGACAGACAGCATCATAAATTTTTAATATGAACATACATAGTTTTTTCACCATTTTTTCGTTTTTGGTTGACATTAGTTCCATGAATTTAATAACATTAGGTCTGTGGGAATAATAATTGCCCAGGTAATTTTTTCTTACATTAGCTTTACATTCTAAGATATAATGAAATTCATCAGCAATTTGAGTATTAATACAAAGTGTACAGATTCTATCACACAGTGGTGTGCCATACCATCTTCCAGTCTCTACTGGATGATGATCTGCAGTTCGAAATTTTATAAATATTTTTCTTAATTTAAGAGATAACTTTATCAATATAATGTTCAGATCCAAAGTTTTGTTTAAAGATTCTGTAAATCTGTCCTTTTGAGGAATTATTTACGTCACTAGACCACTTTTGAATAAATTGATCTTGTAATATTTGTTTTACAGTAGCAGTTATCCATTTATAATGTTTAAATAAGAGTATTGATGATAATTAAGCACATAGATGAACTCAGTTTATGGTCTTGAGGCTTGGAGTTACCCTGAACCTGCATGCCCATATATACTTTAATAGTTATGCAATTAAGTTTTATTGAATCATTTTTTTAAAGTGATGCAATTTCTTCCCATTCCTGCACGAAAAAGAACAAGCCTTGCCTGTGAACTACTTCTGCACCCTTCGGTGCTTATCGTAGATGTAAGTTCTTCCATTGTACTTTTTAACAGCAAATAATGAAAAACGGTATGGAATTTAATAAATCATGTAGTGTCCCATATAGAACATATCTGGCCCCAGGATTCAAACTATTACAAGTATTACAATTCCTTAGTATTTCATCTTTTCAAGATAATTAAAATGCAAGCGTTCAGTCTAGAATTAAGCAAAGCTCATTGAGAGAATATAGAGATGCATTATAGCTAATATTTAAAAAACAAAAGCGTATTATTTGATATTTTTGCAATGTGTGATCTTTTATATCAAGTCTTTCAGTGTGATAAATTTTACTCGGTTTTTACAGGACCCTGTTAGAACCATGGAATTCAAAGACGCCATAGATTTACTAAAGTTATTACGTCACTATGCTGAAAAATTCAACAAAATTGTCGTGATGTCATTGGCCGCTGCCCCAAGTGCTTTTTATAGCGTCTGTCACAATCAACTTTTCTTGTACAATGGCCATGTAAGAAATAATTTTATTTCTAGATAAATATGAATTTAGTTAATTTATTAAAGATGTTCGACATTTATGAGGATTTAAAGTAGTCTTGTTACTTATATCGTAGCATGATTTTATGTTATCCATGATTGTTGGAAAAATTGATATTTTTTCACAACAAATAACATAAAAGTAATAATCATTTTTGTATTTCATGATTAACAGATAGCATACTATGGCAAAGCTACGGAACTTCCGAATTTCCTCAAAGAACTTGAGCTTAGTACACCACAAGGATATAACCCTGCCGATCATATGTGTAAGTTGAAATCGACATGTATTTATAATACATGTCTCTTTGAACTTTGCATACAGAAAGGACAGAACTTTTACTTGAAAAAAAGAAATACCCATAGTTTTCCTTTTTTATAATATTCACAACTTTAAGTTGGCGAAGATCTGATCCTTTGATTGTGATCTACATGTACATGTACTTACATAGCCGTTTACACTGTAAATTTTTAAAAGAAAACTATTTTATTTAGTGGAGTTGTTGAATGAAGACACTTTAAATGACCGGTCACCGATTCAAGAGAAAATTGTGCAGGAAATGTATAAAAAGAGGTATGTTTTGTTTAAATACTGTACACTGGCACATGGTATCCCATTTGTTGACAAGAAAATGAAGCATAACTTTTGCTTCTTAAAAAAAAGAAGCCTGCCTGCCGCATTTGATTTTAAAATTTTTGTCCTGAGAAAACTAAAGATTAATTTTTTTGGCCTTAATTCTGCTGTTTTCATTTGTACCTTGATATGAGTCAATTGGAATCCAAGCTGTTGTTTAATTTTCAATTGACTCTCATTTGCGAAATGTTGAATACTAATTACTTACATGTAGCATTAGAATTCACAGGCCCGATGAATTACGAATTTTACTATTTCTCCTGTTTCTTTTTATTTGGTCTCAAACATTGGTATCATCTGAAGAAAAACACACCTTAAGCAAACCAGACTGCAATTTTCATTTTTTATCCAAAAATAAGAATATCATTGTAAAAAAATATAAATACAAGTATACCATGAAGAAAACACACCTTAAGCAAACCAGACTCCAATTTTCATTTTTTTATATAAAAAAAAATAAGAATATAATTAAAAAAGAAATATAGTTACAAGTATACCATGAAGTTGTTTCTCGTAGTAAGAGTATTAATAATTAAATCTTTTGTGTTTAGACAAGAACCTGGATGGGAATGCAAATCTTTCATCAACAAATATCCAATCACGTGTCATTATAAACATCACGTGGCCTCTTCAGTTCAGAATGAAAAGATAAGGAATTATGATACATCTGTCGACTTACATAACGGTAAAATATTTCTAAAGCATTAACCTTTAATTTTGTAAGATAGCTGTTACTTCTGTAAAGGAAGATTATTTTTTTATATTTTGGAAAGAAAAAAATGTATTCAATGCTTATCTTGCCTGTATGGTATTTATTGTTCATTTTATTACGATTCGTACATGGTATTGCCCTTGGAATTTTGATGGCATTTATTTGTTATTAATTTTCTCGTATATTGATTAAAATTAATGAATCTAATTTTTGTAATTCTTAGAGGAAGTTGAGGTATTGGTTGAGGATTCGGTTCCAAACCCTTCGGTTTTCACTACTTCATTTTGTCGTCAATTCAAAGTTCTGCTGGGCCGTAATTTTCACAATGCTCGACGGCGGATATTGAACCCAATCAGTCTAATTCAGAACTTTTATATCTTGGTGATTTGTGTGCTTATTTGGTGGAGACCAGAAAGGGTGGAAAACGAAGTGATGGATCGAATGGGACTAGTACGTCACTTCCTATAATCATGTCAGTCAGATTTGTGTTGTTTCAAAATACCTTGTTCTCGGAAATACGATATGCAAAAATCTCTGTAAAATTTTCAACTAAGGAAGAAGTATTTAAATCAACCAAATTTCTTTATGATTTTTTTTTAATTTCAGTTTTTCTTTACTGTTGTACAGTGGGCTTTCTTTGCACTGCTAGATGCTATACTTACATGTAAGTTTTATATTATACCATTTTCTAAGCATTCTAATTTGTAGTCGTAATTTTCATTGATATTTTGTTATTTGTTAATCTAGTTGCAAAACAGTGAACATGAATTTTTCATCAAACTTGATTTCAGTGAAAAAATAATCCTTGTACTCTCTGAAATTTTACAGTTCCAAAAGAGATTAAAGTCATTAATCGGGAACGGAAATTCCGACATTACCGACTTTCAGCCTTTTGTATTTCCAAGTTCCTCAGTGAGATACCCTTAGCAGTACTCCAGCCGGTGGTTTACATGGCAGTCATCTATTGGGTTGCTAATCTCAATGGTGTCTCTGCCTTTTTCGCCTCCACTGGTGTACTCATTGTAGATGTCCTGGCAGCGCAGGTAATTATCTTTTAAGATTCATAAAGGGTTTTCAAAATTGGCAAAACAAAATTATACTTGTAAAAAAATGCATTAATGTTACCCATAATGTATGTTCAATGATGATTTTAAACTGATGCAAAATCGAATCACACTCTTAATTACAGCAGTTTTTGGGATTATATATCTGTTATTGCGTATACTTCATCTTTGTGACCAAATAGACTTAACAGTATTGTCACACTGTATTTCAGAGTATAGGCGTTTTCATTGGATCAGCTCTTCAACCACCATGGACTGTAACAATTGTCTCCCTTGGACTTTTGTCAATGATGTTATGGGGTACAGTATATATTTATTTTAAGGTCAAATTTAAAACGTAAATGTTTGCAAACTTTTGCAAATCAGTGTAGTACTATTTTACCCCAAGCTTTTCTCTCCATTATTTTGCTCTTTAAGTCAAGCCAGAATTATTGGAGGTTAAGCTGAAAAGTAAATATATATGTAAAAAAGAACAGTCTCACCTACACTAAAATTGAATATATATGTTAGTATCATTTTTAAATATTTCAATACGAAAGAATTATAACAAGTGTATTAATTTCTAGGCGGCGCATTTAACACTCCTCCTTCTTGGCTGAGTTGGGGAAAATATGCCTCGTTTTTCTTCTATGGGTTGCAAGCTTTAATTGTCCTGGAATTCAAAGACGCCCCTCCTATAAAGTGAGTAAAGAAAACAGAAATTTCGATTGATTTAGATGCCTTCCATGTACTTCAAACGTTAAATTCAAACGAAAACCAGAATGACGTGGATCTTTTTTAATTGATTTTAAATCGTTTACTGATCTCATAAGGAATGATTGATTGATTGATTGTATGTTGTTTTACGTCCCATTCGAGAATTTTTCACTCATATAGAGACGTCACCATATACCGGTGAAGAGCTTCAAATTTTGACCTTTACTCGGCACTCAGGGCCATTGAGCAGTGAGGGATCTTTATCGTGCCAACGCCTGCCGTGACACGGGGCCTCGGTTTTTAAGGTCTCATCCGAAGGACCCGCAACTTTCACTTCAAAGTGCCGAGCGCATGGCGAAGGAACAGTTGCTACCCATTTTTTATCGACTTGGGTCAGACGCGGCCGAGATTCGAACTCACGACCTCCCTATCACGGAGCGAGCGCTCTACCATAAGGAATGAAAATGAATGTTAAATATATAATATTCTTATTGTACTGCCTTGCACAGGATGAAACTCTCTCATTAAGTTAACTGAAAGTTACTGAATGGCAGAGCTCTCTGCCATTCAGTGACCTTTGCAGACCTCTCAGGATCATCCTGTATTGTATTGCAAATACTGAATTCTGTTAGCCTAAACTAATAATTAGACAGATATCTGGTGATGCTTAAAAATACTACTGAAACTTTATCCTCCATTGTTTTTAACAGGTGTTTACCGAATAGTACACTTCCGGTTTGTAATATGGTTAACCCGGTCACAAATATGACAGCAGGGGAGTTTGACTCGGAAGCCATCTTATTGGTGCAAAAGATCACGTGGCCTGTATGGCAATACGTCACTGTGCTGCTTGTAATAATGGCGGTCACACGTATTCTTTGGTATATTGTGATGAGGCGACAGAAACTTCACTGGCATTTGTAAGAGAGAGAGAGAGAGAGAGAGAGGGTAATTTGAGGGCTGTTTGGAAATTACTGAGACATTTTTTAACAGCAGAGAAGAAAGAGATAAATTCTTGAAACAAATAATGGAACTATGCTAAATCTCTTGTTGATAGCATCATTAGATAGTCTAAACTTGCATATATACAATGAACCACAGAGATATAATCATTACCTCATTTTAATATTAATTCAGCCTTAGATTTGTGCTCATCGAAACGACTGTTCTTTTTCTGTAATAACTTGAAACCAAATAGTCAGAGATTCTCTACATTCCTACCCCCCCTCCCCCCAACTTTATATAAACTGTTTGATGTTGTTACCGATATGTCAGATATCCATGAAATATGTATTACTGTCGGATATATATCATTCGGTACCAACTTTAGGACCAGTAATGCAAATTCTTCCATAATAATTGATTGTCGTCCAGCTCATATGCTTTCACTGCGGCTAAATGCATGATTTGTCAGAAAAGGTTTAAATCAACGATAAACTAAAACCCTAGACACATTTTCTCTGCATTGTGTTTGATTTAGAAGTTCCTTAGTTTGAGCAGTTCTACTCGGCTCTAAGCATAAATTAATTAATGCCCACTGCTGCACCTACACGTCAAAATTCATTCTGTCGTCATAATCAGATTTGAAAATATATCATAATATAAGAATTTCTTACAGAAAATCTATCAAACATGGACAAAGTCAAGGATAAAAATCTTATATATCTTTCATACATACTCTTGGTCAACCTGGACTTATTACGTAGAAGTTACAGAATTCTGCGCTGGTTAACCCTACAATCGACACATTAATAGGTCATTTAAAAGAAAAAAATTATGATGTATTAGAAATATTTCTTGCTTTTATATATTGTTGGTGTTTGTTAAATATATATATAAATCAACTTTCACTAAAAATAAACGTTCATATCAGAAAGGGAAATACTCAGATTGTCTTATAAATTTTGGAACAGCCCTCGTATATTTGGAAATTTGGTATCGATCGATCATCTTTAACATTGTAGATAAAATGGTATTATATTTGTCAAGTTCTTTTTACTATTGATAGAAGTATTGAAATAAATTGTTGTTACGAAAAGCATTGTTATTTTCGTAATTAAAAAAGCATTCTGCATATGTTTTGCTTTTAATTCACATATTCATGAAATATGTGTTTCAAAGAATTAGACATTCATAAAAATTGTCTGTTCTTGTCACTTATAATTCATGGAATGGGATGAAATCATTTTTAGCAGTGAAGTATTATGAATGTTTGCCTTATATATATATATATATATATATATATATATATATATATATATATATATATATATATATATATATATATATATATATATATATATATATATATATAAAACATGTCTTTCCCGTACTTAAAAATTGAATAACTATAGCAAGACATGTTACTTTTTTTTCTAAAATGTCTTTTGTTGCGTATCGGATATAAGTGAGATCTTTAAGTTGATGTCTACGCAGTTATGCGATCAGGTATGGAAAAATGCTAAATTCATAGGCCAAACACCCATGTGATAAGCGATGTATTGGGGTATGGCATAAACTTGGTCATCAAAAATGTCAATCCTTCCATTCTAACAAAGCTACTACCATTTGAACACGTTTGTCCTTGATACGTATAGGTAATCCATGAAACATCTAAAAGCATTTTAGTCTCTTTCGGGCATTTTCCTGTCTGAAAGAATAATTTTTTCATAGCTCGGTGCTCCAAGACGTTTGGAATGACAATGCAATTCTCGAATTTGTTTTTACGCATTGATAATCTATTATAAGCTATAACCCCTCAAATTTAATCAAAATTTCGCCAATTGACCTTACATGAATATTCTAGCGATAGGTAAAATATCAATATTTTTTTTGCGCTACAACAGTGCACTTTTTTTATTTCAAGAAATTATCTCCACATGTTTCATACATGTACGAGGGTTGTTAGAAAAGTTCGCGGACAAGTTCTATTATGAGCGCGCTATTTGCCTGAAACCAGTAAAACTCTGCATATAAAAACTATACGAATTTTCGAATAAATATGCAAAGATTTGGTGTTTCCTGATGTTCTTTGAAAAAATATAGAGCTATATTATTTTAATAAAACATGCTTCACGGAGCATGTCACTTTTTCGCCTGTAGATAACGAGCAGTACTCAAAAGTCCATCAAACATTACAAAATAAGAGCAGAGTAAACACGGACATGTAAGACATTTGATGTTGGATCAGGTGCCATGGAGGAGTGAGCATCCCCTGTCGACCGGTCACACCCGCCGTGTGCTCCTTCTCATGATCGGGAAATAACGGAAAAATCCGACGACAATTCAGTGTGTAAATAATTCTATCAGTAAGACCTAACGTGTGAGCGCAATGATTTTATCTATATGTCGTCACGACGTCCACTCTAAGGTCGTTGTATGGCGTTACAGAACTCACGAGGACAGTCTCCATGAAGTCTCACAGGATGAACCTACACCATTCAATCAACTGAATGGTGACTGAAAGGTCTGAAAAAGTCCTTGAATGACAAAGATCTCCATTTCAGTCAACTCTCAATACATTTTGAGTTAACTGAATGACAGAGTTTCATCCTGTGTCTCCATACAGTATCCACGGTATTCTGATTAATATTTTTTCAGCTGAGATTCCTAATAATCTATATGTTTATGAACTGCAGGATGAAACTCATTTTTATTTATTTTAGGTCATTGCGAACAAAATTGGTTTTGTTATCTAAGTTTTAAGGAAATTGAGAAATATTTTACACTGACTTTTCGTCATACCACATAAAGAGTTCTTTTATTAGAAAAAATTTCAATCTACACTTTTCCACATTTACAATATTAAAATTGCTTGTAAAAGAAAGAAAATCAGTAACTGAATTATTTATTAACTTAAATCTAGTATTTATTATAATTATCTTTGTGAAAGGCGGAGGCTTGAAATCAAAATAAAAAATTGTATCACATCATATACAAGGTGTTTTAGCATTTATCTCAAGCTATAGTATTGGAAAAATAAAAGAACTTGATAATAAAACTTTTCCATTATCTTATCAAGAAGGGTTGCTTTGATTTAATAAAGTAAACAAAAAGAAATTATCAAAACTTTACATATTTTTATGTATTATGCGTAATCGTTCAAAAATTGAATTTTAATTAAAGTTGACTAATGAATGACAATTTTTGATGGAAAAGATACATGTAATTTAAAAACAAGAGGCTCATGGGCCACATCGTTCACCTGAGCACCATGGCTAGGGAAAAAGCAAAAATCAGTTCAGTATTGAAAATCTTTATTGCATAAGTGGTCCCGAGCTACCGCTAAAAAAGGACGGGGTGGGGGGTGGGGGTGGGGTTATAATTTGAACAAAATTGAATCTACACTAACTAAAGATGCTTACATATTGCTTTGTCTGTGAACTTTTTTCCTACAAGTTTGAACATTCATTATGTTCCCACCCTACCCCCGGGGGTCATGGTTTGAACAAATCTGAATCTACTCTATCTGAGGATGCTTCTATATAATTAGGACCAATCATGGCTTTGCTGTTCTTGAGAAGAAGATTTTTAAAAAATTTTCCTATGCATTCCTATGCATAACTTTAATCGTCAATTGTGGCCCCACCCTATCCCCAGGGGGTCATGATTTTTTTCAAACATGAATCTACACTACCTTAGGATATTTCCGAATAGTTAATAACCACTCCTGGCTTTGCTGTTCTTGAGAAGATTTTTTTCTATATATTCCTATGTAAAACTTTGATCGTCCATTGTGGCCCCACCCTACCCTCGGGGATCATGATTTGAACAAACTTGAATCTACACCACCTGAGGATGCTTCCATATAAATATGGCAAATCATGGCTTTTCTGTTCTTAAGAGGAAGATCTTTATTTTTTTCCCCTATGTACTCCTATGTAAAACTTGATCGTCCATTGGGGCCCCACCCTATCCCAGGGGGTCATGATTTGAAGAAACTTTAATCCACACCACCTGAGGATGCTTCCATATAAATATGACCAATCATGGATTTACTGTTTTTGAGAGAAAAAAGATTTTTAAAGATTTTTGCTATATATTCATATGTAAAACTAACTTCGATCGTCCATTCTGACCCCACCCTTTAAATTTACAGAATTTACACTACCTGAGGATGCTTCCACATGAGTTTCATCTTTTGTGGCCCAGTGGTTCTTGACAAGAAGATTTTTAAAGATTTTTTTTTAAATATTTCTATATTAAACTTTTATCGTCCATTGTGGCCCCACCCTACCCCAGGGGGTCATGATTTGAACAAAACTGAATCTACACCACCTGAGGGTGTTTCCATATAAATATGACCAATCATGGCTTTGCTGTTCTTGAGAGGAAGATTTTTAAAGATTTTTGCTATATATTCCTATGTAGAATTTTGATCGTCCATTGTGGCCCCACCCTACCCTCGGGGGTCATGATTTGAACAAACGTGAATCTACACTACTTGAGGATGCTTCCACATGAGTTTCATCTTTCCTGGCTCAGTGGTTCTTGAGAAGAAGATTTTAAAAGATGCCATTGATTTTTCACTAATTTGTAATTATCTCCCCTTGGAAGAGGGCGTGGCCCTTCGTTTGAAAAAATTTGAATCCCCTTTACCCAAGGATACTCTGTACCAAGATTGGTTGAAATTAGCCCAGTAGTTCCGGAGAAGATGAAAGTGTGAAAAGTTTACAACGACAACGACGACAGACAACGGACAAATTTCGATTAGAAAAGCTCACTTGAGACTTCGACTCAGGTGAGCTAAAAATGATGTTTAACTCATGTATGTAAATTCTCGAGGTATAATTCATGAAAAAGATAAAGAGGCTTGAAAAGTATTAAATAAAATATCCCTCTTTTAGTAAAACGTTTGAGTCTTGAGTTAAAAGTTTTAAGTCTGAAAAGAAGTGATAAAAAGACTACTGATGTAAAACTTAATGCATTTAGCTCTTACACTATAATTTCAAGACGTTTAACGTCGTATATAATTTAGAAAATAAAGAGAGTTACGAACAATTTACATTCTAAGAACAATGTCTAATTTAGATAATGTAGAATGATATTAACAATTTAAAAGCAATTAAAAAGACAGAATAAAAGGAATGGACCGAAAAATACACTTAAGGTGACATGAATAAATAAGTTTGAATCAAAATAATCGATGCATTGTACCTTTTTTTAAACAATGTGTTTAAGTATAATCTTTTTTATGTCTCATAACTATTTTTTAACTTGATTTAGATCTGAAACAAAACTTTAAATTAGACACAATAGTACTGAAAGAAATAATTCGATAAGCACCGTGACACGAAAGATTTTATCGTTATTGATGTGCTGTTTATTGTGCTTTATCAGATTTCTTGCTCAACAGTTTTAATATAAGCTGAATAGATAAAAGGATATATTTTAAATTCTTTTTAAACTTCCTCATAGATTACGGAGAACGTAACAGAAAAACTGCTTATTAAGATTTTTTTTTGGTACATGAAAAACTTATTTTTGTCAAAGAAAGATTGGAGTTTCTTAAACAAAGTAAGTTTTTTTTTAATTTATGCAATTGATGATTTGCTACTTTAAAATAGTCATTACAAATTAGATTCTGGGAAGGAAACGAGAATATCATAAGACAAATTATAACAACAGAATGTTTAGACCCATACACCTCTTAATATAAGTTTGATTTTATATCCTTAATTTCCTATCTAGTGTATTTTCTTTCTTATTTATTAATATCCTTACATCTCAAAAAAACAATTAATCTTTTGAAAAATGTGAATATCTGAAAGTTTTGTAGATTATTATTATTTGAATAGTTTTCATAACAAGAGATTTTCTAAATCTTTTTTCTAGTTCTTTTTGACAGAGAGTAGGGACAATCATAAGCTAAGTAAATGGGTAAGATGCTTTTTATCCATGTTGCACGAAGTTTGATATTTAATGTTTGAACTTTAATATTTTTTTATTGTTTTATTATCATTATTACATTTTTGAAATGATATCGATTCATAAAATCACTC